ATGTTTAGACAGCAACTAATGGACATTACAACATTTGAAGCCTATATTAGTGACTTTAATAATAGTTACCTTGTGATAACGGGCCAGAAACTTTCCTTCTGAATCATAAACAACATTGGTATTGTACTGATAGCGACCATCACTGGGACACTTAGGATCACTGGAGTTGCACGGTTTCTTGTCGCCCATGTTGGCAACCACATAGATGTCATAATTCTTTGCCATGCAACTAAGCCTTTTCTGCACTGGGTTAAATCCAAACCTAAAATGGAAAGGAAGAATCAAATGAGAAAGGCAGTATCTAGGAACTAGCAATCTGGTAGATCAATCCACAGTGCACAGATACTAGCTTGGTAAAATGAATTTTGAGTAAGAACAAACAAAGAACATATTTTCCAGGAAATCCTAAGCAAAATGATATATGGATATCTTACTATCAATATATCAATGGTGGCTAGAAAAGTGACCCCAAAGAAAGAGGCAAATTTATTATCTGTGGCTGATACATATTTTTTATAACCGTTTATGTCTTCATAATATATATCAAGATTGGAGCCTTGTATTATTCTTTTGCATTGTATACATATTCTGCATACTACTAAAACTCTCATCATCCTCTTTAACTAGGTGAAACATTACATTAGTCTGCCAATAGTTCTAGATTGGCAATTCTTAGAATTTCTGGTCAGGCTGTCCTGATGGAGGAATTCTGAGAGTTACAAGACCCATACTTCTGGGTGACCCTTGGCCTCTGGCCAGGTCACCGCTGACCAGAATTATAGAGTTAACTAATATTATAACATCCCTGACAGCCCTAAGACAGAACTGGCTGTGACCTTGCTGTAAATATTCATCCACACTGTTGAGCTTCAGTTACTCATCTCAACTGAGGGCAACATTTGACTTAATATTATCTATAAAATATTTTCCTGAAAATGATAAAATGGGGACAAGCAGGTTTTTTGTTTTGAAGGTTTAATTGCACTGATGCCATATAGCTTGGATTGTAACAGTGGTGCGCTGGAGCTTATTTGTATCTGGAAGTTTTCTTTTGAGCCAGTTGATAACACAGCCACCACGCCTAGTGTGCCAATTGGTTGTTCCATAGTTAGGGGTTTGGCAGCGATAATGAAGCCAGCACAACTGGTTCTTAAGCATTCAACACACATCATTGCCTGTAAGTGACTGACCATGTAAAACAGGGAGTGTCTGCTGTTGCATCACTGTGACCTTTTATTAATAAAGTGACTCAAATTCACTGAATTCTTGACTGTGCCTGGGTAGGGATTTGTTTTGCCCTGTGAACTCTGATGAGGCAGGTAGGGTGTTCTCTGATGTGAACTCTGGATGGGATACACACTCCTTCTAGCTTCTTCAGGAGGCTGGGGAGGGGGAAGTAGCTGGATCTAGGAGGTACTGATACTTCATTAGGAGAGGGGCAGGGGTGGGATTCTACAGGTTTGCACCTGTTCGCTAGAACCAGTTGTTAACATTCTAAGCATTTCGGAGAACCAGTTGTTAGAAGAAATTACTGGCCTAATCCTGTAAGGAAGGCAGGAAGGAAACATTCTGGTGTTGCTTACAGAAACTGCCTCTCCCTTAACCCTTATTACATTCTTGGCAGGACTGGACTTTCTGTCTCTGGAACGTCTCTGGAGGTTTTTTTTCCTCCTTTGCTGGTACTTTGCTTGTGTGGAGTGACCATTCAAAGTTACAATGGCACTGAAAAAAGTGACTTATGACCCTTTTTCACACTTATGACTGTTGCAGCATCCCCACAGTCACGAGAGGCCAAGCGAGGAGATGCGTGCCTCGATGTGAGTGATATTGAGCTGGCCACGCCCAGCCAATAACATGAGCACCAAACCACGTCCACCAACTGAACCACGCCCACAGAACCGGTTGTTAAAAAAATTGAATCCCACACCTGGAGAGTGGATCATATTGTTCATCACCTTGGCAGTGGATTGGCCCCTGCTGAAGCGAACTTTCCTGGATTCAGCTATACTGGACAATTAACATCCTACCTCCACCCTACTTTTTTCTAGGAAAGGCTGCTGGGAAGGTGGTAGGACTTGAATTACAGGGTTCACTAAAAGGAATAAATTGTCTGGATTCCTTTGTTGTTGTTAGTTGCAAAGTCGTGTCCGACCCATCGCGATCCCATGGACAATGTTCCTCCAGGCCTTCCTGTCCTCTGATATCTTCTGGAGTCCATTTAAGCTCACGCCTACTGCTTCAACGACTCGGTCCAGCCACCTCATTCTCTGTTGTCCCCTTCTTCTATTGCTCTCAATCGTTCCCAGCATTAGGCTCTTCTCCAGTGAGTCCTTCCTTCTCATTAGGTGGCCAAAGTATTTGAGTTTCAACTTCAAGATCTGGCCTTCTAAAGAGCAGTCAGGGTTGATCTCCTCTAGGACTGACCGGTTTAATTGCCTTGCAGTCCAAGGGACTCGCAGGAGTCTTCTCCAGCACCACAGTTCAAAAGCCTCAATTCTTTGGCTCTCAGCCTTTCTTATGGTCCAACTTTCACAGCCATACATTGCAACTGGGAAAACCATAGCCTTAACTATACGCACTTTTGTTGGCAGGGTGATGTCTCTGCTTTTTAGTATGCTGTCTAGATTTGCCATAGCTTTCCTCCCCAAGAACAAGCATCTTTTACTTTCTTGGCTGCAGTCCCCATCTGTGGTGATCTTGAAGCCCAGGAAAACAAAATCTGTCACTACCTCCATTTCTTCCCCATCTATTTGCCAGGAATTGAGAGGGCTGGATGCCATGATCTTAGTTTTCTTAATGTTGAGTCTCAAGCCAACTTTTGCACTCTCCATGTCACAATTCAGACCAGGGCATCAGATGGAGAAGGACTCAATTGTTTTGGTGGATGACGTCTCTGGTGGATGACATTTTTCAAGACCTAGACTGGGGAAATCTGCCCTTTCCAAACCAAACTCCTGGTTTGATTCCATTGAACATGGGATCCTTTTGAATTGTCTGCAAGAGTTAGCAGTAAAGAGTATTTTTTCTATAATAATTCTGTTCTAAGTAGTTAACATCAGGTGGTGGGTGGCAGGGAACAGAAGTCCTCTCACTGAACACAGCACTGTAAGGATGGTCCCTATCACCTGTACTTTTTAACTTTTGCATAACATTGTTGGAAGAGGCTACCCATTGCTTTGGATTGAATCAGTGGTATAGAAAATAATGAAGATAACCTTGATGAAGCTATACAGAAGCTGCTGCTTAGGCAAAAGGGGATGGATTTTTTTTCATCAGAAGGTCCAGGTGATATTTGGAAATTGTACAGATACCCCCATTTTACTGGAGTGTAAGAAGAGGGATGTTGTGATTCGCCAGCAGCCTGTTCAGACAGCAGTGAATCGGACAGTAGGGAAGAACGGGGACCAGTCTGGGAGTCTGGAGAGCATCCGATGCAGAGATGGGGCCAGGGCTATCTGGGAGTGGTGTGCTGACTCCGCAGCCTCCGGAGTCTGGCACCAGCAAGGCCGAGGAACAAGGGGAGCCTGTTCCCAGTGCGCGTGTGCACAGAGCTGCTAGAAGGTAAGAGTAGCTGAGACAAAGGGGGCAACTTGGGAGTAAGGCATGGAGGTGATTGCCCCTCCCATAAGGTATAAAGGACATGCAAAGGTAGAGAAACCTTTGCAGGAAGCAAAGTCATTTGCTCTGTTCAGATTAATCCTTGAAGCTCTGTGTGGACTTTGTACTTCAGTTGGTTTTTTTATAGTTCATTTGGCACTTTAGTTGTTGGCAGCAATTCAAAGGAGAGAAAGGTGGGTGCTTATTTTGGGGGACTGTTTGGGACTTCATTACAGGCTGGGAATGAACATAATTCCCAGCGCTGAAATAAAACAAGAGTTGTTTTAACTAAGTGTGTGCTTTATTACAGTCGCAGGAAGCTTTGGTCAGAACAAGGGAGGTGGTATAGATGGACCAGATTTTCAAAATTCTATTGTTATAGCCAGTCTCAATTCAAGTATCCTAAGCTTTCCTGTGGAGTTGATTTTATGGTCCAATTTGCCTAGTGGGGCTGACATCTCTGCTGATAATATTCACATATGTCAACCCAGAACCAGTCTAGAAGTTCAGTGGACTCTTGATCTGGTGTCTACAGGCTGGACGGGATACAACAGGCTGAAAGTGAATTCCACAAAGAGAGGAATGCTGCTTGTTCAGAAAAACCTTTTAGCACTGCATCTGCTTGAGCCATAATATTCAGACAGGGCAGCATTCTCCCCAAAGGAAATTAACTTGATTTTTACAGAGAATTATGCTCTCAGATATACAAAAGGGGCAGTAAACTAAGGAATTTAAAATATGACTATAATACATGGGAAAAGCTATTGCCGTACTGCCATCTAGTGACAGAAATCTGGGCAAACAAGTTTACAACTGCTTATCAATTCAGTCTGGAACAATATTTTAGAACTCCATAATTTTCAACATAAAATAATAAAAGAAATCCGTAAAATCTGTATGAACGTTTTCTCTCTGAGACTTGTTTAATGGCAGCAATATACTTCCCAAGGAACCCAGCTTTAATAAATTTAAATACAGAAATGTTTTTTTTTTAAATGAGAAGTCAAATTTCACCAGGAATCACTTGCAAAACTCACATTTTAACAGCATTTCCTAATTGCACGTGCAATCTTAGTCAAACAAAATTAAAGAAAAGCATAATAAAATATTTTATATATGAGGTAAATAAAGTTGTGTGGCTATTCTTAACTATCCAACCAGCTATAATTCTGCCTCTACAATACAAATACAAATTGGAATCACTGTTGTCTACGTACAAGAGCATCCGAAAAACCCACTGTTAGTTCACTATAAGAATGGAGAAGTGTACTTATAAGTAACTGGCATTCATTATAGTACATTGTGTACCGAGTTTATTTATTAAATTTATATTGCTACCCATCACACTAGTCAAAGTGACTCTTCTCTTTCAAGAAGGTTCTACTTAGATTGGATGAGATTACCTTTCTGGATCATTGCACGGAATCCAGTTTACTTCAGGATCTGGTATATCCTCAAGATAAGGATAAACTGTTTCCCGAGTAAAGACCCACCCATAAATGCCATCTTCAGAGACCACAATGATGCGAGCTCCCTACAAAAAGAAAAGAAGAAGAATGCCAGTTCAGTTAAGAGATGCCACTGCTTCCAAGAACAAAGAAGATGGAACTTACTAGCCCTGCATCTGTTGTACCTTTTCAGCTGCTGTTTTGATGGCTTCCTCTAAGATGTCTAGATTTCTGTTCATTAAATTCAGGGCTTCTTCTGGAGAGACAAGTTTTGGGGTGGGTCCTGTAAGTATAACAGCATGCTCATAGACGGCAGCAAGGAATGTTTCCACAGCAGAGGCCCCAAGAATAACCCCAGTCAGGAACACAACCCAAAGGTGAGGCTGGAAGGAAACCATCTTACAGAGCCTAATTCTGGCTCAGACTGAAACCAAATGTGAGGTCTGTTTAGCTTAATAAGAAGGGAGGGACGGAGTTATTTGGTGAGTGACAATTTCCCTGTTACATCACTGGCTACTCTAGGAGAAGAGTATAAACACAGTGATTACCACATTACATGTTTTGTACCCAAACTTCCTGAAAGTAGAAATATCTCTATTAAGAAATATATTAGAAGAGACAGAGGCAGCATTTAGTTCCTGAAATGAAGTCAGTTTGATCTACCTGACACTAAGTGGGAAATTCCCCATTTAGGTTTCAGACACACTTGGCAGAAAAAGTCAACCAATTACTTTGTATTCCACAATCAGGTCAGAAACATAACTTTTCCTTAAAAATTACCAGAGAAAATAAGAAATGATATAGAGGTCCATTAAGCCAGTATATCCTAGATTTCAGTAAGTGGAGGGGGCACTTAACCTTCCCATTTAAGTTTAAGCAATAGCAATTTTCATTCATTCAGAAGGAAAAGGGAAATTTGTCATATTCATAAAAACCTGGTCACTGTTGTTGATACGTAATAGATTTTCTCCAAATCTGCTGTCAATATGGTCAACCACATGGCAAAGCAGTGGCTATTTTGGTAATTAATAACCATAAAGCCCCATCAGGAAACAAAACTCCTTAATAATGCCACATTCTGGGATATCATTATACAACTCTTCTCACAGGCTGAACTTCGTTTGATTTGAAGGTGGTTAAATCTTTTCAATTTGCCAGCCTGATAGGGGGACAAGGGAAGAACAAGCAGCTACATCATGTTATTGAGGAAATATTACAAACAGACGTAATATATTTAGGGAACGTCAGATCTTACATATTAGAGGCTGATGAATAGCCTCACCATAAAGACTTGGCATAGATTGTCTCAGTTTTGGTCCTCAGAGTTTAGCATCCCAGTTTATAATCTGCTCCCCCTTTTTGCTAACATGCTCCTCTTTGTGGTTTACTGCTCTTTTTAAAGTGGACAACCATGGCTTATTCAGCAAATCATAATTAATAAGCTTGACTTAGCAGCATAGATTTACTCACTGGGCAGGAGAGTAAAACAAATGCAACAATTGTTTTCAAGAGCAAATACTGTTTTCAAGAAGAAAATTTTAAAAATAATATTTTAAAATAAAAAATAAAAAAAATCAACTCCCAGCTATGATAGGTACCATAAAGAAACAAATTCTGCTTGAAAGTTTGGCAAGTTCTAAAGAGATATCTGATGACGTTAGTTGCGAAGTGCTCATGCTTCCAGGATCCAGCAGTTTTCAACATCTGATGACCTCCTGATCGCAGCTCCCTTTCTGGTACATTTTCTGGTAGGCTTTGTTTGTCTCTTTAGGCAGGGCATTTCCTATCAATAAAGTCTTTTTCGGTTAAGGCTACAGAACCAGCTTTACAGATACTTGCTGACATTCTAAGATTCTCGCTCTCAGAAATGCATATACCCACACACTGAATGCTTTCAAAAAGGTTCTTTGCTAAGTTATATAAAAGTTATAAATACAAATATTTCTTAAATTCTTTAAAATTACAACACATTCTTCTTCTTTCTATAATCTAGCCTTTTAATAATCAAAGCCATAAATCACATTTTTTTTAATGCAAAAAGTCCGTAAGAAGCTCCAGTCATCAATAAAGGTAGATCACGTCATACTCATGTCGAAAGCATTGAAGTGCTTCTGGATTGAAAGGATTAACTGGTGACATCACCATTGTCCCGGGGGAAGCCCAATTGGGGACTACTTTCATGTCCCCATCAGGAGCTGAAGCGAAGGATGGGAGTTCACCCCACCCCATTGGAGCACTTGGGTCTCAAATGCAAGTTTGCTAACCTCCAATAAATGTAGGTAATGTCTTTTCTTTTTTCAAAGAAGCCAATTTACCCTTTCCAACAAAATGTGTCAAACTCACCAACCAGTCCTCCATAACGAAGAATGTTGAATCTTTCCATTAAATCTTCAATTGAATATTGATCTTTAATATCCTTTGAATCAAAGTATATATTTGAATCCAAAACTGTTTAGCTTTTTTATATGTTGACAAAGCATGAAAATGTCCCATCAGGATGTTCACATTTCCAACATACTTTTGAAGTGCCTTTATACATTCTAGAGAATCTAGATAATTTCTTTAGTGTCCCACACCAACAATACATTCTTTTATAAAAATTACCTTTGAATCATAACACAATGTGCATTTCAATTCTTTTAACCACATATTTTCCCACTGAGCCATCTTTATGTTATAAACAAAATTTCAAAATTTCAAATTTCAACAAAGGTTTATACATTTTCAAAATTAATACAATTGTATTTCAAATTCTGTCTTACTTTGCTCCATAAGTCTTTTTATCCATTTTAAATCTTTCAGCTAACTGTGAGAAAGAATCACTTTTCATCATTATTATAACTATGAATGACTGCTAGATGAATCAAAATGCTAAACAAGGACACTCAAGTATCTCAGAATAGCTGTAGATTTGATTAAAGAAATTGTTTTCAAAGAGAAAATACTCATTTCAGTAGAGAGGACTCAGCCAAAATGTCATTTATCACAATTCATGGCAGCACAGCAATCTAGAGCTGTCACTCTACCTGCACTGTTGTTGCAGAACATATACAAATAAACAAAATTGTTATTTCCTACAATATTTATTACTTTTTGTTGCGAACCAGTAGGCAATGTTTTAAGTGATAGTACTACATTAGCACAATGCTCTTTGAGAAACATTAACAAAATGGACTCAAAGAAACCCTCTGATGTACAGGTTGAGTAACCCCAAGATCAGATTTTTAGTTCCTGGCCAAATACACTAGTTGTGTGTCAATGCCTGGTATCTAGCCTTAGATTGGGTAAGAGAGTGGGCATATAGCCCACTGGTTTTGATTCTGCTCCTCCATGTGCTAGAGCTGGCTGAGGAATTCCAGAAGTTGAAGTTCACAAGTCTTAAAGTTGCCAAGGTTGGAGATCCCTGTTCTAGAGAACAAGTCAATTGCCTCTTCTGTATGACAATGTGAATACAATTATCACATTTCCCCTCAAGTCTTCTCTGTAAGCTGAAACCATCCAGCTAATTGTTCCTCACAGGAATTGGTTTGCAGTTGCAGTTGTCTTAATAGCTCTTCTTCGGAGTAGTTTGTCAGTATGATTTTGGACTGCAGTGTCCAAAATTGGCAGAGTTTTCCAAGGGGATATATTTGAACAAGTCAGGGTAAAGTGTGGAAGTTACATTATGCAATCTGGCCTTTATACCCCTGTTAATACACTTAAAATAGTATTTGTCTTTTTAGCAGACAGGACATCCAGATCTTTTTAAAAAATAATTTCTACTAATCCTCCCATCCTTTAATCTTTTTTTCCCCTCCCCTGATGTAGACTTGACATTTCTCTCTCTTAACTATCATCCTGTTTGTTCTGGCCCGTTATTCAAGCCCATCCAGAGGTGTTTTTTTTTTAATCTTTTCTTTTTTAAGCTAGTTACTTCTCCTAATTTTATGTCACTTGCAAATTTGATAATCAACTCCTGAATCCTTTTATCCAGTTCATTAGTAAAAATGTTAAATGGCACAAGGTCCTGAAAAGAAGCCCTGAGATGCTCCCCTCAATTATTTATTTAGCGTATGGCAAATACATGGACTTATAGTGGTTCAAATGTCAATGTCCAGTCCACCCAGCCACCCAAGGACAGGGTGGTCCATGTTAAAAAAATCAGACATTGGGTGCAAGCTCTTAATAGACACCTGGACACAATGGGATGGATATCCTGTTGAAGAGCACCACAATCACACTGAGGGGCAGAGACAAGACGGGCATTCAAAAGCTGTTGATCCATTGCCATGTATTTAGAGAGCCAGGAGTTCCACAAAGATGTCTGACTGCCAACTGTCATTAACTGCCAATTCTTCAATGTAGTCTGGCTGCCAATTGTTGCTAGTCATTTGGTTCACATTACCATGCTATCCAGGGTGCACCACAAGAAGGCGGACTAGCGTCACACCCCACTTCCTCAATATTCTCCAATTTAATATGCAGCTGCTTATGAGACATCATAGGTCAATTGGTCAATTATGGATCAATAAAACACTTGTATTGTTCTAGACCAAGGGTTCCCAATCTTGGTAACTTTAAGACGTGTAACTTCAGCTTCCAGAATTTCTCAACCAGCCACACTTTGGAATGCCTGATCTAGACCACTTTTGACCATGTTATCAATGAAAAGTTAATCACAAATATATTGTATTTGCAAATATAACAATAAGATGCATCAATATAAAGTTCAGTAGCAATGCACAACAATATTTTACAAAGTGCAAAAACCTTAGTATTGTCTAATCTTAGCTGATCTTAGCTAATTAGCTGTTCTTACCTATTCTTCAATAAATACAGAATTGAATATTTATGGAGATAACTGCTGATGAGGAAAATTTAGCCCTACTTTGGAGAAGAGATTCTTTTCTGACAATATCCAGATTGGGGAATACAACTTGGGGAATACAAAGCAATGGCAAAATTAACATTATAAATCCAAAAGAGAAGTTTGGTTGACTAAATGTAAGAAAGAACGGCTTCTCTATATTCTACACATTACACACAACAAGGCAAACTCAGCCAAAGAATTAAAATACTTCATCTGTCCCAAAACCAAACTAAAATCATTCCTGACTGAAGTAGCTTAAAATATGCAGCCATCAGCAATCCAGACTTCACTTTACGGCTTAGACAATCAAAGGCACTAGATTTATTTCCTAGCAATTATGTCCTAACTTGGGTTGGTGGTAACTCTTCAAAAATGTTTGCTTCCTGGATAGATCTGAAAACTAATTTCTAAATCAATAATAAATTTTAAGGTAGGCTTATCCATACCAGAATGTTGATTATAAAGGCTATGAAAGCACAGCTGGGCAAAATATTTGTTCTGAGAGTTCCATAAAGATACTACTAATTTCTGAGAGCTTTCTTTTTGCGGAATGGGACAACTTACTGCGGTCAATCCGTAGAGGCTATCTCACCACG